TAGATGTTGTAGAGGTAGCGTACACGACAGTGGATACTGTCGGGAAAAGTACTGGGAAAAGTTTAAAGTCCGACTCTCCGTGGAAACGCCTTTTTCCAGAAGAAGGATCATCGCTGCTGATATAGGAGTCTCCAAAGGCACAGCTCATATCGAACTGGACCACATAAGAATGAACAGAAAATGGTGCTTAGTGGATGTGGTCAGGTATCATCTTCTACAGCGGCTCTGATCATCGACTCCGCGTTAAGATCAGATTCAGTCACAAGCCGATAAGGTCTATCAACATCGCGCAAAGAGCTCTAAAAATGTTATAAACGACGGAGAAGTTTTCTGACGACAGTCTCAATATGATTAGCAAGACATGGGCGACCTGACTTAAGAATTCGGCGCGGTAGTTCGAGGTCTCCTCACCTGTGCTGAATAGGCTGAACTTCTTCAAATGGCACATTTCAGACCTGCTCAGGACAAGAAAAGTTCGACGTAGACCATGTCGCTACACGTTTCGGAAGGCTGCCAGCAACGATCACCTGCAGACAAGCATTGAGGCGAGAACCTTACCTACACACAGAGAGTGGAGAACTACTGGAAGCAGACCTGTTCAGAATTAGCCGAAAGAAATGTCACCGGACCACGGAATCAGATCTTATCAAGATCTCAGCCAACCTACTCCTTGCAGGTTCTCACGAACTTCATGCGCTTCATGCAACATACATGACATACAACTTCCAAAAAGTGGGGATTCCCAGCCAGTGGAGGAATTCGCAGCTGGGCATTCTTCACGAGAAAAAAACCGGGACGATCGCTCAACAAGCTTGTTGAGTGTTCGTTACAAACTGCTCGCGAATATCATTCTAAACAGTATATCGCGAACGTTGAGTGAAGCTCAACCTGCTGAACAGATTCGCTTTCGAAAGGGCCGAGATTTAGCTGCCGAGTTCACACCCAAGTGGTCGCAGTGGTTATTGAAATGTGCTGAGGATTCCAAACACCCCTCGCTCTTACCTTTGTTTACTGTAATAAAGTTTTCGACACGACCTCTCGCCATTCCAATTGGGAGGAGCGAGAAATAGAGCGACCATATTTCGCCGAAGCTATTTACAGCCGCAATGCAGTGGGTTATGAAGCCGCTAGGCTGGGTTGAGGGAGCATTCGAGTGGATGGACGCGGGTCGCATTTCTCATCTTCGCGGACGACGAGAGCCAAATTAAGTACGATGGTACATCTATTGAAGAGATCACGCTTTACGCTTTCCTTGGCGTTCCATGAACCTTTTCAACGACTTGAAGGGCGGTAAAGCGACAGAGAACAACGTGGTATCCCTCTACCTCAGAAGGTATAAACGGATTATCTGGCTGATCCGAAAATTCGCGTTAATCCATTCAATTTCACAGTTCTCCTTGCTCTCTGTTGCGCGTCGGGAACTTGACTGACCAGTGCATCCAATTCAAGAACATTGAAAGCAAGTAACAAAGCTCTCAACAGATATCTTTTAAGGTTCAGCTGGCTAACTCAATATCGAGCCGGACTAAGCAATTCCCATATGCGAACAATGAGTCGCCTTCGTGACCCGGTGGAATACAGGAAAAGTTCGATGGGCCGGTCATCTCATGAGAAGAGATTATGAGAGATGGACAAGATTAAGGTTGAGTGAGCCTCTGAAGGATTTTCACAGTTTTTAGGAAGGCCTGCTGCAATATGGGAAATGCGCTAGTCGATTCGTCTCAGAGCAGTTGTGGATGTAACTGAATGATCACCACACCTTCATCTTCGCTAGATTCTGAGTCAACCGTGGATGGCGAGAGACAGAAACGAATGGTTTGTTGGTGCTAGCGTATAAAGGAGACGAGCAGTATAAATAAGTATAAGAATAAAAGTACCGACTTGCACATCAGCTAGTCAAGATCGGCATAGCGAACACCTGAGATCCTGTAACTTCCTAACAGCAGACCTAACAAGAAGTACCTTACTGGATTCCATAAAACACCAGATCAACAGCCAAAATGAGCAAAAGAGGGGTACACTATGTATGTTTATTCGTGTTTTTGCTACAGAAATGAGTTAGTTAATGGGAGACCACTTCCACTTCATTGTATGAACCAGAAATTCTTTTGAATGCTAACATGGCGCATCTTGAAATGGATTCGCTAATCCCGTAGGCCTCTATTCCCTATTGCTGGAAAAGTGAACCTGCCTCCGAGGGAAATTCTGCGCTAAACCAACCTCTCCCATCAAAAAACCCTGAGAGGTGGAAGTACCAAAGTTCAGAGTCAAGGCGCTTTTCCCTTCAGAGAGCACGGCGCTTTTCCAAAAAAAATCTTGGACCCCCTGAACTTGCTCCTCTCCCTGCTAATCGCGGATCATCAAAAGGACGCAGGGATCGATCACTGGGGACCATGCTCTAATAGCTGATGGTGTTGCTTTCATTGCGGAGATTAGCAAAGTGCTATAGAACAACCTGCAGAACTGGCAGAAAATACTGGTGGAGATCGACTTCAGGCTAAACGAGAAGAAAATCAAATTCCTTAACTGAAGGGAGTGCGCAGAGCCAATAGTGATTTCTTGGAGCATGGATCAAGAGTGTCCGAGATTCCCCGTAACTGGAAAGTGATTTAGGGGAATCTGTTGGTATTCCCTGCTCCAGATGCTGCTCTAGGAATCTCAAAGAAAAGGTCCACAGAGCAATGGAGATGCCTACACGGTTTCAGAAAGAATTATGAGCGCCAACTTCACGTAGGACAAGTGATTGTGTGGAGATGGGCTTGCCGTTGAACGCAGCCAGATCGGGTCAAAAATAAAGTCGTTAGGACGTGCACAGCTGACGACGAAGTGGTATGGTTACGTACTGAGAATATGAAAGACCCGCTCGGGAAGGGCTCTGTAAGAAAAGCAGTTAAACTCGATATTTCAATGGATCACGAAGAACTCTGAAGAGGTGGCGGGGCATGATCAAAAATGAGCTGGGGATATCTATGTGACAGCAGGCAATGCTGTAAATAGACCGAGAAGGCAAAGACTTTCAGGAGCAACATACTCTGGCACGGGAATAACGTCGAGAAGAAGTGGCAAACTGGCAAACTGCGGGAGGACTGTGCTAATCGGTACACCAGTCTAATCACAATCAAGGCTGACTCCAGTTCTACCTCGTGTAAAAAGCGATTTGTGTGTGAAACCAAATCCAATTCTTTAAACACATTTAGAAAAAATATAAAAAGTGGACCATTATGTGTTTTCTTTAGGATTATTTTGAGAAAACTCTACAGTTAAAGATTCTACAATACATGTTTGTATACTTTATCGCAGATAATAAACAACCTGGATCAACGAAGATTATTACTTTAAATAAATTAACTTCATACACGCATAAACAAGCCCAGGGATCACGTAAATTCAAAGCATTCCAGTATCACATCTGACAACAGGAACGGACCAGATTTACTTGGATCCTTTTTTACCGAGAACTTAACAGCAATACTGGGAACAGTTCCTAACTAATTCAGAATACCCAGAAACAACAACGACATTGTCGAAAACAAACACATCCACGGATGATTCCGCTCAACTTACATCGCCAACTTCTTGCCTTTCTTCACGTCTGGCTTGTTACGGAACACTCCACGCTTATTCTTGCCCTAAAGAACAGGCTGCTGTGAGTTTCAATTACATAAATTGAACGAGTTTCAAGAGTACAGAAATTCCCGTCTTCTTTCAATGGACTAAATTTTGATCCTGATCGTATTGATACTGCAAACTATTATCAGTGTTGCATGTTGACGAATTGAAGACATCGATTGCCCAAGGAACTTTTTGTACTCTAATACTTTTATCACACCTTCTCGATCGCCCAATATTAATGGCAGTGGAGAACCCTAGAGCTGGGGTTCTACGCTGCCAATAATATTGAGCGATCGAAAAGGTCTAATGTTTTCATAACCTTTGATATGAGGCAATTGAGGAGCTCTGATCGAAATCCCATAGGTTCCTCGGTGTGGCCAATATTGGAATGAAAGCTGCTTTAGACCACTCAAGAACTTGGGTAGTTTCGAGAAGGCATTGCAGAAAGCCTGGGATAAATTCGGATCCTAGCAGTGTGCCACTGTCGATGCCTCCCCTCGCTAGCTCCGAACCTAAGTCGGAGCAGAAGGCAGAATTTCAGTTCTAAGTTATTTCCATAAAGAAGTTAGGGATGAACACTCTCCCGAGGGTGGCTTGTTTTATCAGCTTGACGCTCATTTTAAGTGATGCAGTTTCTCAGACTTCATAAATTTGGTCCACACCCCGAAACTTACACCAAAAATAAAGTTAAAAATATAGAAAACTCTTGACCTTGGTCACCTTCTTAGTATCCACAATAATTTGTCTTTCGTTCTTTTTTACAACCGGTCGGTTTTCTGGATGCTTCACTTTGTAGATGCGAACTAGCCAGTTCTCTGATGTAAACGCCTCTTCAATGTATTCCAAAGTGATATCCTGAAAAATGAGAAAAAATGAAGAAGAGCACTAGGAAGAAAACTTGTCCAACCTTCTTTCCAATCACATATCCTCGGGTTCGATCGAACCCATCTTGATTGTAACCCATTCGCACATCAGCAAAACGATAGTATGACATCTTGTACATCAAGCAATTCAACATGGTCTCCGATGCTTGCGCTCCCACGCTGTACTCACCCGATTCTGTGAAGTAATTGGACTCCTGAAAANGCCATCTACCTTGATCTCCTTGGGATGTTCTCCTTCAGCAATTCGAACCATCCATAAGAATTTGTTGATGTCATCTCCGGAGTAACCAATAACGCCGCCGAAAATAACGAGGACGTAGTCAACATCTAGCTCTCGCATTATTTCATAAGCCGCTGGTTCGCTTGATGACATGGCCTTTCCTACCTATAAAAGGCTCTGGTAAAACAACAATATAAAGCCTTAGAGGAACTTCACACAACGAAGTACCTATACTATAACACTCTTAAGAAACAACACTGAACAATAATCGCACAGGAGAGCCTCAAAAAAGCTACTCTTGAGGCTACAAACCAACTTAAAACTTCAGCAACGCAACAGAAACCGCCGAGCTTGCGAGCCCGCCCATATAACACAAATAATTCAAGTTTTCAATTGAAAGAAAGTTAGGGCGAATCGTGATAGTTTTTTGACGATAAATATTTAGCTTAGGAACGACTGAGCAACTTCAATCTCACGAACCAAAGCAATATGCGAGTTGTTCCATGTGTTATTGTCAACCAGAGTAGTACGATTCGCCATTCCGGCAATTTGATAGCCATAGTCCCACCAAGACATAATTCTGGCATCATCAGCAGTGTTTTCACTTAGCCAATGGTACGCTTCACGGAAATCGTCCATAATAATACGGTCACTGCAATATTAGAAAATAGTTCGAATAAACTCGTGGATCGAAGAAGATTACATATCCGAGACCTTACCCTTGACTATTCGAACTCTGAAGAACGACCGAAGGATGCGAGTAAGCGTTACTTGTCACATATGTCGCATGAACAACGAACATCAGAAGGAAGAGCACGAGCACAACACTAACTAGCGATCTCGTGTTCACTCCAACGGCATCTTCAGAGGAATCAGAAGATGCGGCGGTCTGGAATCAAAAGTTAAACGTTATCTCAAAACAGTCAACAATGAAAAAGAGGGAAAGTCGACATTAACTCATAACACAGAAAGCATGCAAAGTATAAAAAGGCGACAAATAACAGGATCTCTTGTAATCTCCCACCCCCATATCTCAGTTATTACCTCCAGTTGTTACTTCACATATTTCTATGAATACACCTTTTAAACGAAAGGACGGACAGCATGCAGAGATTGACGCCTACAACAGCACTTAAACCCATAAAAAGTACGTCCACCTGTACCTTTCCTTTCTTAGTAACTTTGTCGTACATCTGACGGTCTGACTCAGATTTCGTCGACGACTTTTCGTCATCTCGCAGATACCTAAAACGATGAATCTAACTAAAAAACCCCTTTCATATATGAACAAAATTATTAGTCATAAGAAATCATTTGTTTTCATAAACGTGCTCAAATAAACATTTATACTATAGGTCAAACTCACAAAAAATGCACCTAGTCCCGCAAACAGCGGAGAACCATAGCACAGTGTGGTTCACTTCACTCGGTTGATGGACTAATGAGTATCTCGGTTATATAGGCATAGAGCAAAAGTAGGAAGGGATCGCTTTCCCATTGTCACTGAGCTCTTCTGTTTAGTCTCTTGTCGAATATCTCAGATCTCATCACTTTTGAAAAGCTCTTATCCCTCAACTGTCAGTTGTGTTTTTCCCACTTCGTTTGATGATATGACAGGCGGCGGCAATGAAAACGGCAGAACTGCACTGAAACTAATGACCCTAGCTAATCCAACTTCTACCAATCCGGCTGAGCGGGCTCGATGAAGAGCTAGTAGGCCTTTTTCTACGTAAGCACAGAGTTTGCAAAAGTGAGAAGAGATTTTAAGGAGACGGTGCAAAAAAATTAAAACCGAAAAGTCATTCAGTTACCCCAGCTCAACTGGAAAAAATAAAGAAAAGAGACTAGCATCATCCACTAAGCAGGCATGCTGCAAAAATGAAAATGAAAGGAAAAACACTAAGCAATCGACCTACTTTTCGAAAGTGTAGGAGAAGGCGATTCCGGACAATACACACACAGCCGGAGTGAGTGTCAACATGAGACGAACCATTACACCGGCAAAGTACACAGCAGATACCGCATAAAGGATGACTAAATATAAATTTACAGCAAAGCTCTCTATAGCCCAAAAACAAAGATCTCAAATACTCACTGAAAACACGCTCATCATTCACATTCTTTACACAGTACCACACTCCTACGGGGAATACGGCGGCTGTGATGTGCAAATCAAAGAAGAACGATACCCAAGTCGTTGGTTGATGCTCCGAGACGGACGCGATGATTGGGATATGGATCTGTAGAAGGTCATCATGAGTGTCGCTCAGATGGAATGAAATGGCGGCACATACCTTTGCATAGCCGGTGTCCCACAGAGAATAGAAACGACCAGAAAATGGAGCCACATAGCCTGAAACGAAGAAATTCACAGAAAGAAAGAGGAGAGGTTGTCTCAGCGGGATAGGTTAGTAACACACAATGGATGCTCCTACCTTCGAACCATATGTAGGAACAAACTATCCCACGGTTTTTCTTAATTATACTAATTTAAGCATGTGAAGTAGCTATACAGTGAAGAGGTTTTTTTAAACTTTGTCTTGAGACCCACCATATCGAGNGAGTTCGGAAACTACTACCTTGAACGAAGTGCGAAAAGAAAACATCGAAACGACTAGCACTCAGAGATTAGCTGAGCAGCTTATTCACGCAAGCTTTTCTTTTCGCAGACTTTTGATTTATAAAATTGGCATTGCGAGTCGCATGACTTATAGATTCAGTTGCATGGTCAATCTGGAACCATTCGTTAGAAAACATCGAATTGAGCGCTAGTTACTGCCGGAATTTTTTTCAGTAATTCCGGCACCCCGGTGAAGTTGGGCAAGATCTCTTTATTAAAAGAAACTGAAAGGTGAAGTACCCAGAGTTTGGCCTTGCCCTCCTCTGACGCTCAGCTATTGTTTTAAAAGTGCGTCGTAGTTTAATTTCTTGAATTTCACGGAACAATTTTAAAGATGTCATGAAGGTTACAGATTCAAAAGACTTTGAAAAACTGTTACAGTGTTGAGAACAGCTCGTAAGTAAGGGGGAGATTGCTCAAATGGTTGATTTGGTAGGACCCCAGGTGATACAACCGTGAAAGTAAACTAACAAAAACTGAAGTCAACTATATCACTGACCTCCCCACACCAGTGCAAAATAAACGACGAATGCTAGGCAACCAACGGCTGTTAGTCCACCTACGAATAGTGTCATAAACTGTTGACGTGATATTCGTTGACGAGCGTATTGCATTGCGGCAACAATCTGAGGCGTAATTATGAATTATGGTGGAAGCAAAGGTAAGCAAAACTTGAATAGTAGGTTGGTGAGATAGTCTTGAGCCGTTTCTTTTTTCTTTGGATGTTTCCCAAGTTCGAGATCACGCATGATCTGTACCCATGATCCACCATGACATATGTATTTCATTCCCAAAACTTGTCCCTTAAACGCACATGTAGTATGCTTCCCTTCCAACTACGACAATATTAATACCACAAGAGTAGCATCGAGCCCTCACCTTCTATAAATGGGTTGATAGTATTGGAGAGGTGGTAACTGTTCATAACACGAACAGAGCATTGGGTGAGGACACCACTCCCATCAGCACTGTCAAATTCTGACTCGCTCGTCCAGAGGATGCAGACTTCGAAAACAATCTCCTACACTGGAAGAATCCGTCATTATCGACGCTGTCAAAAGGATTCAAAGTCTAGCACTGGCGGTCTTGTGGTGACACTCGAGTGTGAACATATAAGCGGTTCACTCAAGTACCCGATAGACAATTACTCTTGCTCGGCCGTATCAAAACGATTTTCTGAAACACCTTATTTCTTTGGCTGAAAACTCATTCCCCTACGATTCTTCCATACAATCACCACGTGCAATGTAAACTAAGCACGCGCCAGGCACGCGCATCGGGCACAAAGCCGCACACCCAAGCTAAAGAGATAATCAGTTAGTTTAATTTCTTAAGGCGTCCCTAATTCAGTAAAAATTCACTACCGGCAGGTGGCAAGCGTTGTAACTGACTATTGCTCAGCTAAAGTCATTTTATGCTGAATAAAGAAATAACAAAGCAGAAAAAGATGTTATTTGGCTCAAGACTTTCTTACTACCCTTATAGAATACCTGAAGAAGCCCGAAGACACCAAATGCTGGCATGTGCTCGGATGTGCGCACTGGCTGAAAGCCGACGAAGGGGATCTGCATCGATAACACCGTTGCAAGGCAGTAAAATGTGGTATAGGCAACAAATAACCGCGAAGAATAACGCCCTTCAAAAATACATATATAATTGCAGTTTCCAACAATGTTCAGGAACCAACTCACCAATAAGTATAAGAGCAACAACATGCAATGGGATAAGGTTGATAATGAAAACATAGCCTCCCCATGCTGAGACCATGTAGAAGTATGAGAGTGCACAGAATGAAGCCCACATCACCGAGCCAGTCTTCAGAGACTTCACCCATAAGAAGTAAGTGAACTAAATAGTGAACCTTGGTGTAGCATTCCAATAAAGTTCATTGGTCAACTAACTACAAAAAGAGACCTGAAGGGCAAAAATAGCGATCCCCTCATTGTCATAGGAACCAGCCACAGAACGACTTGTGTATCCCGGAGAAATGGCAATAAAGCAAGCAGCAAATAGGCCTAAAGCATTGAAAGAACATAGTGAAACTCTCATAATCGTTATTTAGTACACAAAATTCTTTTCAAAAGTGACTCTGAATCCTGCCGTTTCAGGTTACTAGGTAGCTAAAACCTTACCTGCTCCAGGTGACCACAACTCCTTGGTCAAGAAATACGTGGCAATCGCTGTCAGACCCGAAAATGTTGGTGCGAGAAATACGCATATCTCCCTTTGAATAAGAAATATTCAGTCGGTAAGAAAAACCATAAAACTGTTCAGGACAATCATTATTTTGTGTCCAAGAAGGATTACGAAAAAATGGCAGGTTACCTGATATGGACATGGAAATTCAATGTATCGAGGATCCAATGGATTAGCCCTGATGTAATCATCAGACCTGGGTACACCTAAAAGTGCAATGTTTGATCCACTTAACAAGTTGTTTACAAAAATGGAAGCATCATTCAATCGCTGTCAACAATGATAAACAGCAATCATTCCTTAATTGTCAAGAAGCTACACCGCTGATGTTCACCATTCAATCTTCTAGAAGTTCAGTAAAAGAGCTATAGTCGCCTTTGAAGAGACTATTCAGCTATACTCTCACTAGATCGCATCACATCCGCACCTCATCTTCTCAGCATTTCAACTCTAACTCACCGTTCCACCGACTATTCTTCCGAGAGGGTACCAGGCACGCTCATCAAACCAGTTTAGGAAGTTGTAGTAGCCATGCTGGACCATATGAGCTGTTGCGCGATAGTTGAACCTGAAATAATAACAGAGGAAGCAATATAACTGAAGAAAACCCTCGAGAGGGAAGTGAGAACCATTTTACTCCACTTACCAAGGGTCGAACTCATGAATAATTGACTCAAATCGGACAATGGCAAACAGCCTCGAAGCAAATCCAACAAACCATGCCAGAGATAGGATGGCGAACGTCAGTAATGAGGTTAACCCCAGCGAATTCCCTCGAAAGAACCCTACGTCTGCCGCCATGACCCTAAAACGATAGGGCTAGAAAATTTGGAAGACGAGGAGTCACTTGAAACAAAAATGAAATAGATCAGAGCATCAACATCCAAGGAGCCTGTATGCAAGAGCAAAATTCGAAAAAGTACACAAACGCGTAAACGCGGGCGTTCTGAGAGCGAACTAGTAAAAATCGGTCGTAGGAACGAATTCGAGCTACTAAGAAAACCAATTTGCCATGAGACTATTGCCATCTAACATGCCAAGTTCAAATAATGGTCGTAGCCGAGAGCCACCGACAGCTCACTTCGAAAACTTCCAAGTATACGACAAATTAAAATGGCAGCTTAAAATACTCAAATTTATTGGTAAGCGAAAGAGTCGAAATGGTAGAGCCTAAATCCATCAAAATAAACATGTTGAACAAAGTGCCTGGCTGCCTTCAGACTTCGACGGCGGTCCGTCCGTCCGTCCGTCCGACCGCCCGCCCGTCCGCCCGCATACTAGATCACGTGCCAGCGCTGTCAACACCTTTCTAGAACCGCGGTCGCGGCACGCACACGATGGTCAGCCCCCAAAGCAGAGGGGGATTGTACTGAAGTGGCGGAGCTAAGGTAAAAGATCCAAAATCTGTACAGAGGCGTCCTTGATGTTCCAAGATCGTTCTCTAGATGAAGTTACCATAATTAGTTACCACCTATGAAATCCCCATAACAACTAACAATATATAAAGAATTTGTTTCTGCCTGCCTATTTACCCTAAAATTCGGTATTTCCTGAAGAATTTGGGTGCTCTGGGATAGCTGAAACTTCGGGCACGATAAACAGTGCACATATAAGCTCGGGAACACCTCACTCACGAGCGGAACACCCATCGGAACGGGTGGCGGTGAGAAAACGTTATAATTCTGCTCCGTTCGAGGCGGTCTTTGTTATGGCGCACGGGGCAGTAAAGCTATGTGAATATAGTAATAGCAAGTAACGTTTCCATTCCTGCGTTTACTGTAAAGTGCCAAGCGGAAAAGAGGCGTATCTGAAGGTAAACATCAAGAAGCCGTGAGATACTAGGTCAAACTTGGAGGAGGATGATCCCTATTGCTTTATTTCTACTTATCGAAGGCACCTGACAAGGTAAAACACACAAAGCTTATCCTTAAAATGACATGCCATGATGCTCTTACACACCACCCCCCTCTCCCACCTCCTTGCCAGAATCCGAACTTTCCAAAGAACACTGAATACAGTGGCCAGCCTCGATCACTAACTATAAAAGTGGTTCAATCCATGGTATTTGGGTAGTGGTGCCTTTTTGCAACACTGCAATTCCTGGGCTTGACGCCTTTGTGGAAGTCAGAGTGTTTCATGCAAATGAACGAGGTCATTCGCCTCGGGGACGAAGAGAAGACGGAACTGTTAATGTGACGTCGTGTAATACGCAAATTTATGGCAAATGCAGCGAAATGCATCGTACTTGGAAGATTTCCAACGATAAGCAACGAACGATAGACATATCCTTCTTCTGTTGCCCTCCACCACTATGTGTATGGCTCTATTTTCCTGTTACTGTTTATGCGCAACAATGCCTGCTCCTCGTAAGTAAATGACTAAATAAAAACGTCGTTCGAGGTCACCCTCCCCATCTTTGAACAAAAGTTCCTGGGTAAACTGCGACTAGCTGCCAAGAACGGGGTGACAGAACTTCTCCCGGCTTCCCACGGCCTGCGGCAGTGGCTACGCGGCGACTCTCCGTATCCTTCCACAGGGAATTCGAATCTTTCCCTTCACAACGCGAGATCGTGTGCGGCGAGCACAACACGCCGTTCGGGGAAATAACGTTTCCGATTGTAATGAATTTCAACGCACCTGCACTCCGTTAAGGAGCAAACAAATAGAATTCCAAATTCAGAGTGAAGACGCTTACGTCTGATCTGGGACGTTTTGGTTACGTTCTTCTGTTTCCAGCCGACGTGACTTCAATATCTGCCGAGAACGAAAATCAGAACGCTTACTCCCATTCATTCCTGCAGTAGGCTCTGTTATGAACAATAGCACTGGCTGCTTTTATAGTCCGCAACCAGTCGCACGACTGGTCGCGGACCTATCTCACGAGCGACCGGCGACCGGTCGCGCGACTGGTCGCTCGCAAAATCGTGGACTATTAAAGATGCCACTTTGTGCGAAAATGTAGCCGGAGGGGGCCCACTTCGCTGTGTTCTGCACCTCTGACGCTAAGAGCTAGGGCAAAGAAGGATGGGGCACCAGCTTTCTGGGTCCGCACTGAGGCTCTAAAAAAGCTTCGAGCCAAGAAAAAGTCAGGCAAGTTTTTAGGTTAAACATGATAAGTGGGAGCACCGGGTTGATGATATGCTGACCGCGAGTAGTGAATTGGAAATTCAGTACGGATACTCGGCTCCTACGGTAACCTTCCCGTGCAGTAAAATACAGTGAACGCAAAATGTCACAGACAACATAATTCTTTCCACGCCGTAGCCCCATTAATACACAAATTCTCACCCGTCACATATATGACGCATCGAAACGGGACCTCGGGCAAAAACACGGCTCGGAGTTAGCACTGCGTCGTATTCACTCGTTCGAGCCGGGACCCACAGGACTACTGTAGGAGCCACTGCACGTACTGATTTTTCGTTTCTTGAGGAACATGTGCCCCTCCTCCTTCTACATTTTCACCACAAATGTTGTTGCTTCGATAGGTTAAGCTGTTAATTAAAACTGTAATTTCTGTAGCTATTTCGGTCAGTCATCCAGCGGTACATGTACTTGACGCGGATCAATTTCACAGTAACTACTGGGAGAGAACTCT